GGGGGTGGGGGGGAATCTCCTCATCCACCACCAGTGTGCAGCATCCACCTGGATGACGCGATGGCAGCCATTTTGCGCCAGACCGCACACCACACACCAGCTGATTGGTGGAGAGGAGACAGAGTGATGATATGCCAATCATGATATGGGGAGGGTTAGGAGGCCATGATGCGGTGGGGAGGGGTGAGAAGGGTGCGCGACGATGCCTATTTGAGGACTGGGAGGGAGACGCCGGAAGATCATCACTTATTTGCGGGCATCCGGAGACTCGCGAAACTTCCCGCCCTACTCATAATTCTCTCTTCATATAGCCGTATGCCTATTACATATCCATAAAACACTGTGATATAACCGCGCTCGGATCGGATCGCTTTCTCAATGCAATCGAACCGCTCCAGGGTTCGTTTCAATCGAGCCGAGATCACCTCATTCAAGCGATCTCGGAGCGATTACTTTGGCGCGATTGCCCTGTTCACATATGCCAAACGAACCGCGCTAACTGGGCAAACGAGATACGTTCCGAAACAAAAGTGTAGGTGTGAAAGCACCCTTAGACTTCCCGGAAAGCCATAAAGCACTGTTTATTTATTTTTGATTGTAGTTTATTAAAATTTGCATAGACCATCCCAGTTAATCTAAATGAATGGAGCTAATTACTCTAAACATATCGCAATATACAGTTGAGGTCAGAATTATAATTATTATTGTAAATGGCTCTATAACCATACATTACTTTAAATTTAAGAGGGTAATTGACATTACTGTGCTGACATCACAAAAATGGCCAATTGGAAATGTGACCCAGTAAAATTCATTTCAGTCCATTTAATTGGTTCAAAATTCATAAGATAAAATCATCTGTCAGGGCCACTCTGGCAAATGTCAGGCCACTCGTTCAATGAGACACCATGAAATCTTAATATTCTCATCATCTCAAATCCTAATTAGTCGGCTCAGAGTCATTAATCATGTGTGCAAGAGTATGAATACAATTACGCATATTCATAGGCGAAGTTTCAGAGATGAAGATGACAATGTTCTGTAAGATCTCACGTTTCTGAAGTAGAATGTTTTTGGATTACTAGAAGGCACCGAATGATGAAAAATAAAATCCATTAAACTAAGATTATAACAGTGCTTTAGTGACACGTGCACATCAATGGCCACAACAAAGAGTTATGATGCCTGACACTCCTGCTTGCATATATTTGCATAATGTTTACCTACATTAAGAAGCAAGTAAGCAAAGCTGCCATGAATCCAGGGTGAAGCCGATTATCTATCAATCATCTGTTGATGTATAACAGCAAAACAAAAATGCCAAGGACATCATCTCTTTCAAAATCTATATTTCATAAAGTAACAACTCATTTAGATGCAAAAAAGATCCAAAGTAGTCCTCTCCAGGTTGAGAAATTCACCACAAGCATATTTCACACCGAGCCCGAGCGGTTGACAAGGCAGAGATGTACTGCTGGAGTGCGCTGCAATTTTATGTCGGGATGCAGAAACAAGAGATGTTGGTGCAGCGGTCGTGTTCACTAGTGTTCTCGCTATCTATCACCTCCATGCTGTTTACCAGACACAAAAGACCATATCACTTTCAGAGCCGAGGGGAATACAGACAGCAGCCATTTGTCAGTATGATAAGGGCATTTATATGTGAACCAGAGCCCTTAACCATTAAAACATCCTTTGTCTTCTTGGCAGCTTGCTGGATGTTATTAAGAATGTAAACTGCATGTTGGTTTATCTGGTTACAGTATAGTATAGGGACCCATTTTCACTATTAGCATCCCTATTGCAAGAAGATCGCTGGTTCGAATCCGGGCTGGGCCAGGAGGCATTTCTGTGTGGAGTTTGCAGTATAAGTGAATTTGGTAAATGAAAGTGAATGGATGTGTGTGTGTGTGTGTGGATGGGTAAGTAAATGGGTGTTTCCCAGTGCTGGAAGGGTATCTGCTGCGAAAAGCATATGCCAGAGTAATTGGCAGTTCATTCCACTGTGATGACCCCTGATAAAAATCAGGGACTAAGCTGATGGAAAATGATTGAGTAGTAGTTTTAAAGTGTCAGAGATGAAAGACTGTGTTATCTACAGATGGTATGTCAAGCCCACTCACCTGTGTGAGGCACACTCAGAATTGCATGTAAATGTGAATATAAATGGATGAAATAGGGCGTCATTCTTACTTTAAAACAATTTTTGTCGACATAGGCTGATTCTGAAAATGTACCCCTATATACATTTATGGAGATCGCGAATTATGTAACCAGTGTCAGGTCCTGTGTTCTATGTGTTTTTGTTTTCATCATGTGACCTTCCCCATTTGCTCCTTTGTTCTGTTTTCCCGCCGTCTCATTATGTTCATCACCTCCACCTGTTTTCTGCGCCTGTGTGTGATCAGTTTAATCGTCCCCTGTGCATTTACACCCTTTAGTTTGGTTCAGTCATTGTCCGGTATTCTCAGTTGATGTCTGTCGTCACACCATGTCATTCCTGAGTCTCTCGTGTTTCCTATGTCCTTCCTAGTGAGTGTTTGTTTATAAATCTACGTATTTTAGATAACTCCTGCGATCCTTGCCTTCTTAATTAATCCCAGGCATGGCAGCCAGAAGTACATATGGCTGCATTTTGTCTTTAAAATGAACACTACGGTGTGTTTTGACACCATTCCTTTTCGTGTTTACCAGCTGACTTACCTCCAAAAGGACAGCTTTTCTGCTGTTACCAATTTGCTCAGTAGCTCGCCATGTATGTCAGTGGACTTGAGACACAGAGTGGAGTTGACTGCGACAACAGGGTTTGAGTCCTGTGAAAATGGTTTCAAAAAGCAGGTAAGACAAAAACAGAAGCCAAGTAAACAAGTAAACAACAGGGTGAGAATGTGGTAAAATCTGAAAATGCGCTAAAAATCAGACGAGGGCTTTTCTTTTTCTAGATTGCTTTTGAAAACACTGTGGTTGGGTTTAGGGAAGGGGATGGGTGCTGGACAATCAGTGCTTTTGAAAAGACTATCAGTTGGGTTTAGGGAAGTAGGAGGGTAGGTCAGTCAATCATTTGACGGCGGCCTGTGGTGGATTTACACGAGAAGATCAGTCACGAATGGCACTCGAGAGAGAAATTTGAAATTTGAAAATGCGTACACAGCGACCTCTGGCGGATTCGCGAGAACAAAAACTGCAAAACAAAATGTAGCCCTTGAGTCGTAGAGGAGTAACTGTACTAAAGACCTGGATTTCAGGCGGATACTAAACTAAAATAAGAGACCCAAGGGGTGTTACAGACTGTACCAAAAAGCTGAGGAACTCAAACAGATTAAACTAGAACTAGACTAAGCAACTATGACAGGATACAAGACATGAATCAGGAACGCATACCAACAAGGACGAACGACGAACTAACAAACAGTGGTTGAATGGCTGAATATATAGTCCAGGAAATCAACGGTTAAACAGAGACAGCTGTGAATACAAATCAGTGTGAGTTCCGGTGTGTGCGCGTGGTATGTATGGATTTGTAGTTCTTGGGCGCTGTAGTTCACTCTCAGAGTTCGTGTTGAACTACAGTGCCCTCAGGAGGTTACTGACAGTCGTGACAGAGAATTGAACTTTACAATTTAGTGTGAGGATTTCTGTGATCACATATTCAGTCCATAAAAATCTGCAACACAAAAAAGTATAAATTCCCGTTAACTAATGGCTTATTACCTGCATATTGTTAAGATATTGGCTGTTTTGTAGTACTTATGAAATTTAATCTTATTCTACATCCCTAATCCTACCCAATAACCCAATTACTACTTTAATAACTATTCATAAACAACTTATTAGTAATTCAATGAGCGTATAGTCTCAGTTCATGGTTTCTTAATAACGTGAAATGTGCCTCAAAATAAAATGTGACCAAAAAATCATTAAAATCTTATAAAGAGAAATCTGAAAGCAAATATTGAACGCTCAATGCTATTAAAATTAATTCATTGTATTGTTTTGTGCTTAAAATAAAAGGAAATGGCCTCTAATAGTTTACTTATTTGTACATGTGAATTATTAGTCATGAATCTCCATATCTCTGAATCTCAGTACAGACCACCAACTCGAGTCTCAGAGATTTATATTTAGACCTTTACAGGACAGCTAAGGTGTAATCTATCTCACTGCCACTTACCCACAGTCTCCCATTTGCCAGAGGAGATCCTGAGTAAAAAAGGCCCCTGGCAAGAGTCGTGTCTCTGTAGAAGATGAGCTGGCAGATGGGCAGTATAAAAGCAGAGGACATTACATTGCAGGGGCGGTGGAGGATTGGAGAGTCATGATGGTGACCAATGCCTCTGTGTGACAGTAATATAATGCGGATCAGGGTCTCCAGGTGATGTGAGTGGAATATTCATGCTGGGAGGAGCATTTGCTGAATTCTAGAGAGGAAAGTTGGAAATGGATGGATCAAGTCAAGGAAAGTTAAAGAGATGCTGGAAATCTACAAAACATGAATGTATCTGTCCTTTTTCTTTCTTTCTTTCTTTCTTTCTTTCTTTCTTTCTTTCTTTCTTTCTTTCTTTTTATTTATAATTCATCAGTTAACCAATTCCATAATTTTATTTATCTTTCCTTGTATCAGTGAATAAATGAATGAATCAATTGGTTCATCCATTCATCTATCCATCTATCGTTACTTTTATCTATTGTTCCATTCATCAATTGATATTTCTATCTATCGTACTATCCATCTATCCATCTATTCATCCTTACTTCTATCTATTGTAGCCATCCATCTATCCATCCACTGATATTTCTATCTATCGTTCCATCTATCTCTCATCCATCCATCATTTCTATCTATCGTTCTATTCATCAATCCAACATTCCATCCATCCATCGTGACTTTTATTTATTGCTCCATCCATCCATCCATCCATCCATCCATCCATCCATCCATCCATCCATCCCTTCGTTAATATTTCTATCTATTGTTTCCATCCATCTATCTCAATCCATGCATCCATTCACCTATTTAAACATCTCTTTCTCTACATTTCTGATTATCAATCAATCAATCAATCAATCAATCAATTAACCAATTCATCAATCAATCAATCCATCTATCGTTCAATCTATCCTTCCTTCTATGGCACTAAAACATCTCCTTCTCCATGTCTTTCTCCTTCACAGGATGTCAGGTAACATGTCTGTTGAGTCTGAGTTCCATCCATACTTCTATCTATTGTTCCATCCATCCATCCATCCACCCATCCATCCACCCATCCATCCATCCATCCACCCATCCATCCATCCATCCATCCATCCATCCATCCATCCATGATTTCTATCTATTGTTTCATCCATCCACATTTCTCTCTACCATTCCATCTATCCATCGTTACTTCTATGTATCGTTCTTTTCATTCATTGATCTATTACTATTTCTAGATAAATATTGCTAGATCCATTGTTACTTCTATCTTCTGTTCTGTTGTTTCATGCATTCATCCACTGTTACACATCTATCTACCGTTCCATCGTTCTATCCATCCACCCATTGTTTTTCCATCTATTGTTATTTCTGTGTGCCTGTGTGCCTGTCTCTCTATATATATCTATCCAATAAAACCTCTATAAAATTTCTTTCTCCTTCACATTTCTCATTCTATCTATGGCACTAAATCATCTCTCTCTCCTTCACAGGATGTCAGGTAACGTGTCTCTAAGTCTGATCAGCCTTTTAGAGAACTCTTCTCTCGCGAGCTCGTCTTCTCCTCAGTCTCCACAATGGGAGACTCCTACATTCACCACAGCGGCTCGTTACCGTGTGGTGGCCACGCTGGTGCTTTTCGTCTTCGCTGCGGTTAGTAACCTCTCAGTACTCATCAGTGTGACCAGGGGGCGAGGGCGACACCTGGCATCCCACCTGCGGCCCCTTATTGCTAGCCTGGCCTCCGCAGACCTGGTCATGACTTTTGTGGTGATGCCGCTGGACGCCATATGGAATATCACAGTGCAGTGGTACGCCGGCGATGCCATGTGTAAACTTCTCTGCTTCCTCAAGCTCTTCGCCATGCATTCGGCAGCGTTTATCTTGGTGGTGGTGAGTCTGGACAGGCATCATGCCATCCTGCACCCACTGGAGGCTCTGGATGCTGGTCGCAGGAATAGAAGAATGCTGCTCGCTGCCTGGATCCTCAGTGTCCTGCTCGCCTCTCCACAGGTAAGTGAATGAGATGATATTTTAATTGAAGCTGCTGACGTTTGTGCTTCTTCTCGTAACTGTGTGAAGCTGCTTAAATTTGTCTCTGAGGATTAGCAGATATCGCTAAAAAAAGTCAGCATGCTCTATCTTCTGTAAAAAAAAAAAATTTAACAGTCTTATTGTGAAAACGTACCACCGTATACATTTCTGGAGAGCGCAAATTATGTAGCCAGAGCTATGTATGGCTGCTCTTCTTTTTTAAAACAAATGCTATGAGCCAATATGGGCCGTATGATGCCACCAACGGTTTCTGTTACTGGCTGACTGCTTACCTTTGTGTGGACGGCTTTTCCGCTGTTACCAGTTTGCCCAGTGGCTCGCCACGTATGTCGTTGGACTTGAGACACAGAGAGTTGACCACGACGACATCGTTTGAGTCCGGTGAAGAGCATTTCCAGAAAGCTGGTACGGCAAAAACAACAAGTAAACAAGTAAATAACAGGGTGAGAATGTAGTAAAATATGAAAACATGGTAAAAACCAGGCTGCTGTGAGGGCTTTACTTTTTCCGGATTGCTTTTGAAAGCACTGTGTTTGGGTTTATCGAAGTGGGTGATCGGGTCAACCGGTGCTTTTAAAAATACTACTGGTTGGGTTTTGGGTTTAGTCTACAGCGGTCTCTGGTGGATTTACACCCTTATACCCTTGAATTGCACTAGCAAGAGAAATTTAAGATCTGAAAAAGTGTACACAGCGGCCTCTGGTGGTTTTGCCAAAACAAAAACTGCAAAAAATTGTAGGTCCCGCGACTTCCTTGGAGCTCTCCAGAAATGTATAGGGGTGCGCATCAATAATGGGCCTGGTATTGCAAAAATTGTATGTGCTATCTACTTGAGAAACTAATATTACAATATAACATGCATTATTTTTGAACAGTATTCAATATTTGATTTATAAATTTTTTTTAGCAAAAACTACTTTTAAACGATGCAAAAAATGAATCAATGTTTTAGCCTGACAGATGATGATTTTAATATTATTAAAGTGGAATGTCTTTGCTGACATTCAAATGCAGGTGTCTCAATCAAAACCGCATAATTGATCAATTAAAGGGCACCTATTTTACCCCTTTTTCAAGATTTAAGACAAGTCTTTTGTGTCACCAGAATGTGTCTGTAAAGTTTTAGCTCAAAACACCATTCAGAATATTTACTCAGATTCTTGGAATTTTCAGCTTTGAATACAATGTTGCTGTTTATGTTGCCTGTGCCTTTAATGCAAATGAGCTAGTACGCCCACCGTTCACACATGCCTGTCGGAGTGTGCCTCAATCTCTGGTTGCATCAGATGAACAGCACAGCGACAGACATGGAGGAAGCAGATCTCACATAATGTTTGTGAGATATACTCGATTAAGAACTTTCCCAATGATTATTTGATGCATTTGTTGTGGAGTTAATTCAAGCCTTTCTACAAAGATGAGTCACGCACAATGTCAATACAAAATTCCCGCACGCACACACACACAGCGCATTTAATTTTGCACGCAAATGTGACAGGATACATGTTAATATCCACTGCTGTATGGATATCTGTTGTGTTAATGTACAAAATAAACCTGATTTGACGTCTACAAACCGGGAGTGAAGCAACGTCTTTTATAATTAAACTGACACTATTAGGATGAATTACATTGATTTTACTGTCTTTATTACAAACATGCACTGTTTTAAAAACATTTTAAAGTTGTAAAACTCATTCATGATCACATCTGATGATGATTGCTGATCACAGAGAGCTGAACAGATTTTTAATTTCAGTTGCTTTACGCATGTCCTGTCTTTTTGATATGATTATACGCAATACTACGGAGACATGTTAATACGTGGCTGTCAATCAAATCTGTGAGCGGAGAAACTGCACTTCTACGTAACGTTGTGGTTGGCCTTAAAATGGGAGGGATTTGGATCCTATTTTAAAGTCAAGAAATTTAAATAAAGACTTGTGTTTCTATCACCCCAATATGACAGTGGACAGACTTTACCTACACACAGTTCAGTCCATACAGTTAACAAAAGATGATTTTCGTCATAGGTGCCCTTTAAAATAAACATAAATCCTTCTTTCCTAAAATTCAAAAGGTTCATCAAATCAAGCCTTTGACTTTTAAAAAAGTGACATTTATCTTGTAATTTAATTAGTGAAAAGTATTTTTTTAAATAATAAATCCAGAATAAACTATTTTAAGCAAATATGCACATTATTTTTATTGATCACATACATTTTTAAAATAAAAAATTACAAGCCTCAAAATTAGTTTATGTTCGTTCTAGAAATCTATCTGAAAAGAGTTCATTCGTTCATTCATTTTCTTGTCGGCTTAGTCCCTTTATTAATCTGGGGTCGCCACAGCAGAATGAACCGCCAACTTATCCAGCACATATGTTTTACGTAGCGGATGCCCTTCCAGCTGCAACCCATCTCTGGGAAATCTAAAAAGAGTTATTCAATTCAATTTAGTGAAGCAAAAACAACACATTTCACATATACTAAAATAATATTTTTGCTTGTCTAGAAAATGCTTCTTGATTTAAGAATTTTTATTAATTTGGACTAGAATCAAAACAAAAACTCTAAGCAAGAAAAGCTTTTTTCTTTTGCAGTGTTGCAGGTTCACTAATAGTAGCTGTTGTCAAACAACTCCACTACTGACATCAAAATAATTTAAGTAATGGTTCAAAAAAATGAACCAATTAAACAATCAAGTGTAAGCAAAACTAAAATCAGAGGAAAGCTGTTTTCTAGATGCTGTTCATTTCTTTTAAACAACATACCATGTTAACCATACAGTTGAATGGAAGGCATTAATTCCTAATCTTCAGTGAGCCATTTTGAATCTCGAATATATCCAACATATTCCAACTAGTTGAAAACAACACTAGCTTAATTGGTGAAACTACCTGTTTGTCCCACCAGCAGCAGATGGAAAATGTGTTCTGGAAATCTGTTGTGCAATTCAATCTAGTGACACTAGTGGTGACACAAAAATGACACATTTGAGTCAGACAACTGGCACACCTCCAAACTGAACCAAGTTTAGTCCTGTTTCAAAGCCAATCAAAACGAAACTGCCTCATTCTGTTTACCACACATGCGTCTAAGCTTGAGCATTTCTTCAAAGTGGTGCAATAACTGACCCCAGGTCGGTGTCTCTTCAGTGAGCACTTGCCGCATTGATTATAGATCCTATTTGTCAAGCTACGCTAATTCCAGGTCATTTTCTGTAACCTGTGAAACGTGTCTTGCTCGCCTCTCCTCAGGTAAGTGAATGAGATGTTATTTTAATAGAAGCTGACGTGTGCTGGTCTCGTCTTGTTATGAAGCAGCGTGAACCTGTCTCAGAGGATTCACAGATGGATGATAATGTTGCTGAAAAGCACTTGTTAGAGGTGATGTGTGTCTTTTTTCATTAAAATATTACTGTATGTGCGATTTAAGCTTAATATAAAGAGGCAACTATCAGCACATTCACCATAATTTGATTATGTTTGTAGCTGTTATATTTTTTACAACCCGGTTTACACAATCAGCTGGGAATATTTGAGAATGGTTGTTATGTCATTGATGAGTATATGTCATTGATGATGTCTGAACATTGAAAATCATGTGACTGATGTTGTATCCGTCATAAGCAACCTGTTGTTCTTAAAGGGACAGTTCACCCAAAAATTAAACTGACCTTATCATTTATTCTTCCTCATGTGGTTTTAAACCTTTATGAGTTTCTTTTTGTTTAACACCAAAGAAGATATTTTGAAGAAAGCTGTAAACGTGAAACCATTAACATTCATGGTAGGGATGCGACGATTAACCGGTTTCACTATTAACCGCGATTTAATTCGTCAAGATGAATTAATCGTAAAGGCTTCTCAACACCGTGTTTTTGCACGGAACAAAATTGCAGCAACTAAACAAAGTAGCTAGTAGTAACGAGAATAATAACCATGCACACTGGACTGACTATGACTGAGGCTATTAATTAAGGCAAGCTCGTTCAAGTTTGTTATTTCCAATGGAGGGACGCACACGCAATGCAACACGTTTACGTTTTTCTGGCACACCTAGTTGACAGACAGGGGGCTTTTGTGACTACGGGAACTGCATACATTTGAAGTTTGAGGAAGAAGCAATAGAAAGTGCAAAGGGTTTGCAAACCCACTTACAAATAATGGCGCCAATAAGAGCGATCATGTGACGAGTGTTGATCCGCAAGCCGAGATTTATCAAGTGTTTTCGGAGAGAGTGCTGAAGGACTCAAGCCTTTTTTACATGGCAAATGTGAGCAGAGCGTGTTTTTTTGCATCTATTTTAACAGATTAGAGCTTTCATACTGCATGCAAAAGCAGCATGTCTGCGCAAAGCGTGAGCGTGACTAAAGACAATGCACTGATAATGACCAAAAACGCATTGAATGACAGTAAAAGGTAGCAATTTTACCCAAAAAAATGCATCAATAATATCCTCTGATTTTTATATAGTCAAACAAATGAACCTTTAAAATAGCAACAAATATGAATTTAGATCAAATTTTAAATAATTTTAGTTTTAAACTAGTGGGGTTTTGAAATCCATCAATGCACATAATCGTGATAACCGTGAAACCAAGATTATTTCTTAGACTATAATTGTACAACCAAAATTTATAATCGTTGCATCCCTTATTCATGGTTTTTGTTTTTCCTATGGATGTCAGTGGTTATAGGTTTATAACATTTTTCAAAATATCTTCTATTTTTTGTAATTGAATAAAACAAATGGTTTACAATGTGGGGTTGAGTTAATGATAGCAAACTTGGCAAATGTCTAATTCCTAACATGTTTTGTGTCAGACTGTCAAGGAAAATAAGTGTTGTAATTACGTGTTTTTGCACAAGATTAACAAAGATAAATTAGTTTTTCATGTTGGGATAGTTGGGATTTATAGAGGTTTCTGTTCTATGTTGAAACTTGTCAAGTTATGCTTTTGTAGAGTACACTACCTGAAAAAAGTATTAAAGTTTTAGGAACAACAAATAATAACTTGACTTCTAGTTGATTATTTGGTATCAGAAGTGGCTCTTATGAAAGGCAAAGCTCGCTAGATTATACTTATTTTACCAAAATAAAATATGATCATGCCTTGATTTTTAATAATTTAATTAGGACAGTGTGGTCTGACCTTGCTTATACAAAATCTTGTCAATTAACAGAAATAATGTCCAGTATAGAATAAAAAAGTCATGGTGCGGTACAAAAAGAATGAATATTGTGTCTGACTCTCATGAGCTTGGAGGACTGCATCCATACATCTCTGCAATGACTCAAATCACTTATTAATAAAGTCATCTGGAATGGCAAGGAAAGTGTTCCTGCTGGACTCACAGAGTTCATCAAGATTATTTGGATTTATCTTCAATGCATCCTCCATCTTATTCTTACCCCAGGCATGCTCAATAATGCTCAAGTCTGGTGCCTGGGCTGGCCAATCCTGAAGCACCTTGAACTGCTTTGCTTTCATGATTTTTCCTTCACCAAACTTGACTGATTTCAGTGAGAATTTGGGTTCATGTGGGATCCAGTAGGTCTTCTGCATTATTGGTGATGATTGGGATGCAGTTCAACAGATGATACATCAGAAAAATCAACCTTCTTCCACTTTTCCAAATGATCAACAAGAAGTCAAGCTACTATTTTGTGCTCTTACAACTGGGATCAACAACAAGACTTTTGTCAAGTAGTGCAGCGTATATGGGCTGTAAACACATTAAGACTACTTTACATTACACTGCTGTCTGACATACTCGATTCTGATTGGTCAGTCTTGACATTCCAAGGTATGCTATTTTCCAAGATAACAACCGCTAAATAACACCGGCTCATTTGGAAACTTAAAATCCTCTTGAACATCAGTGAATAAGTTCACTCAACGTCTAACTTTGTAGTACCTTACATAAGTTCACAAAAGGCGGCACGGTGGCTCAGTGGTTAGCACTGTCGCCTCACAACAAGAAGGTCACTGCTTCGAGTCCCGGCTGGGTCAGTTGGCATTTCTGTGTGGAGTTTGCATGTTCTTCTTGCGTTAGCATGGGTTTCCTCCAGATGCTCTAGGTTCCCCCACAGTACAAAGACACGTGGTACAGGTGAACTAAATGAGAGTGTATGGGTGTTTCCCAGTACTGGGTTGCAGCCAGGAGGGCATCCACTGCATAAAGCATATGCCGGAATAGTTGGTGGTTCATTTCACTGTGGTGACTCTTGGAAAAATAAGGGATTATGCCGAAGGAAAACAGGTAAATAAATGAAAGCTGGAAATATCTTGCTTTGTGTGTAACAAAAGAAGGACGCCTAAACAAGTTTAGAACAAGTAAAGGGTGAGTAAATGATGATAGAATTTTCAGTTTTGGGTGAACTGTCCCTTTAATCAGTAAAACTACCTATTTATCCCACCAATAGCAGATGTAAAAGTGTTTTGGAAACCTGTTCGATAACAGTTGCATGTGAAGGAAAATAACATTTCACCTCCATTTTATCTCCAAACTAAACCACATTCTGTTTTCCACATCTAAACTCTGCAAAACCCAGCATCAACTTCAGCAGTTCTTTTTAAGTGATGACTTGTAGCTTAAAGTGGTGCCATAACTGCCCCTGAATCAGTAACTCTTCTGCGAGCACTTGCTGCATTGATTATAGATCCTATTTGTCAAGCTAATCTAATTCCCAGGGCATTTTCTGTAACCTGCGAAATGCCTGACCGAATCCTGTCAGCGTGATACTCAAATCTTTCCCTCAGATAGAATGGTTTCCCAGTGCACTTAATTTCAGTAATGTCGTTTTTAGCAGCCTGTGGATGTGACCGTGGCATTTAAAATCATTAAAAGGAAGATAAAGAAGCTCGACTGAGACAAGGTCAGTTAGGCAGCTGCGGATAATGGGAAAAGAGACACAACTCTAAAGACAAGCGAGTGGGTGGTGAATTGTAGGTATGAAAACATCCACACTGCATCACTCCTGTATTCAGTGCGCACACGTCCTCTAGAGGAAATAAAAAAATAAAAAATGTGGGCTTCCCTCTCACACTGTGTGCTGCCTGATAGATTGTGTGGGAGGAAAATAGAGAGGTGTGTCAGACGGAAAAATAATGCAAACAGATTTCCTTTATCTGAAAGCAGAAGGTGATAACATGACAATAATATACACTGCATGACTCAAGTTCAACAGAGCAGAATGTGTTTTTCCTTCACTAAAAATCCATTTCACTTCAAACAGAACCCAAAAAACTAGACCGGTAAAGTCAACTGCAGTACTATTGAGAAAATGCATGCATTGACAAGCATTCAAGACAGAAACCTTTCAGGGTTGTTGTTAGAAATGCACAAAAGGATAAAAAAGAGCTCTATTTGTGGAGATTTATTGTTGAAATATTATCAGAAGATGATTTCTTTTGTGTATCTCAAGTGTGCAAAGATAATTCACTTCCTGTGTGAGTTTCCATGGTTTACCCAAGGATAAAATATTAAGAATAATAAGAATTTGTAATGTGAGGTGTGAGGATTTAATGATTAAGTAATTATATGTAATTACTAAATACTTGTGTCTCACATAATGAGTCCACTTTTCTTAATGTTTCATCGTTTGGGAAATGATGAAAACTTGTGCTGGAAAACTGAAATTCTCAAGTGTATTACTATATGCTTTTATTTCATTATCTTTTTGATATTGAATTATATTTATCATCAATAATTTTTATATTTTCATTGTTGTTAGATGAAAATAGCTTTTTTTATTTACAATGTAAATGAAATTCGTAATTTTACGGTTTATTTCCAGAAAGAACAACAAAGGTAAAATAACGGCTGTTAAATTGCAGAAATATACCATAAAATAACGGATATTAAATTACAGAAATATACCTTAAAATAACAAATATTAAAATACAGAAATTTATCATAAAATAACAGATATACAATTACAGAAATTTACTGTAAAATAACGAATATTAAATTACAGAAATTTATTGTAAAATAACGAATAATAAATTACAGAAATTTACTGTAAACTACCGAATATTAAAATACAGAAATTTACAGTAAAATAACGGATATTAAATTACAGAAATTTACTGTAAAATAATGGTTAATAAATTACCTAATTACTTAAATTTACTTAAATTTAAACTTCTGGTAAATTTAATCTGTAATTTAATATCCGTTATTTTACGGTAAATTTCTGTAATTTAATATTCAATATTTTATGGTATATTTTTAATGGTATATTTTAAAGTTTTTTTTTTCAGCAATAAACCGTAAAATTACGAATTTTTTTACAGTGTGATAAAAAGCTATTTTCATCTAACAAGAATTAAATCTAAAAAATATTTATGATAAATATAGTTAAATATCAAAAAGATAACTAAATAAATGCAAATAGTAATACGCTTAAACAAAAGTATAATGAGATGACGCCAAGATTACTGTTTGTTCATGTGATGTTTAATGTACACCCAATAGATGATATATACCCAAATAACAATGGATTTTAATTGTGTATACAGTGGTCCATCGTTATTTGCGGGAATTTTAAAAATAACCCGCGATAGGCAAAATCTGCAAAGTAATCAGCTTTATTTTTTTCAATTATTAAAGATATTTTTAGGCTGTAAAACCCCTTAATGCACTTTTCTCAGACAGCCTTTAACATGTTGAGCATGTTATTTAAAATGAAATTATTCAGATGGTGCAGCATAAATATGAACAGTGTCCTGAGTCATAGCTAGGCACCACAGACAGCCGCTGACTTGCGGCGCCGGTGTGCATCCCCTGATATATAATGATTGCTAGACGACATCTACCGTCTATTGTAAGACCATAAAAAATGTTAGCAGAAATGGGGGCTCGTCTGGGATACAAAACAGACAGACAGTTGAAATTACAAGGTTTTAGTGTCTAAAGATGTCCACAACAGTCTAATAATACTCTAATGATTGCTAGACAACCTGTCCTATCTATTGAAAGACCATAAAAAATGTTAGCAGAAATGGGGGCTCGTCCGGGATCCAAAACAGACAGACAGTTGAAATTACAAGATTTCTGTCTCTAAAGGGGTCCAAAATAGACTGTAATAATACTCTTGATGATTGCTAGAGGACATGTACAGTAGTTGCAAAGTTACTTATAGTCAACAGGATGACTTATGGGGATAATGGATAATAGCTTTCCACATATAGTTCAGTAAACAAGTCCAGATTAACAGCACAAAATAAAAACTGATCTTTACAAATTGTTTTTCTCGTTTCAGTTATTTATTTTCAGGGCAATTAAAGCTGAAGGAGTTGACTTTGTGCAGTGTGCAACACATGGAAGCTTCCAGCACCGTTGGCAGGAAACAGCCTACAACATGTTCCACTTTGTCACCCTGTATGTGTTCCCTCTCCTGGTAATGAGCTTCTGCTATACCCGAATCCTCGTGGAAATCAACCGCCAGATGCCTCGTGGTAAAGGCAAGGGTAATTGATTTCTGCTGTCTTCTGACATGGTACCTGTCATACAGCGTAACATCCAAATTCCCAGATTGAGGCAAAATGAATCAGACGATGAGCTTATAGCGGTTCAGAGCTGTAGTAGATCTAAAAACAGCATTGCAGTCCAAATTAAAGACAGATTCAAGATCCTGGGGCTGTCTTTAAATTTGGACTGTAATGCTGTCTGATGAAACAAAGTCTTGAATTTTATACTGAGTGCTGAAGGAAATTAAATTAACTGAATTATGAATGAAGTATAAAAATGTACACTGAACTGCCTTTGGAAAACTTTTGATGATATTTCCTTTTTTATCTTAGTAGAGTTTTGTGTACAGTGTTTAAGGAGGAAAGGTCTCCATTCTGCCATTTCATAAACACCACCCACTGCTAGAAATGCATTTACATTTCTGTTTAGGCTGCAGTATTTCTTTCAGACCAATATGAAAATCAACTTTTGCACTCACTATGCAGTACTGTAACGGATAAACAAAAACACATGTTGAATGTGCGAAAAATCAAAAGGGGATGAGGGTTTTGGTAAGGATTTCAATCTTAAAACAGGAGTCCCCTGAAGAAAGGTTGGAAACCACTGAATAAATGGTTAAAGAGAATTACAAAAACACATATTCTTGATTCGCCATTTTACAAATCATCCCAAATTTTTCTGAATTGATTTGTAGATCAGATTTTTTCAGAATTAAAATGCAGTGCAACCGATCACATGCCTCAATTCAATCAGTAAATATATTGAGTGAGCTAAATATTTTTATTAGGGTTGCCCTATACTGGGAAAATATGAGTTATGCAATGTTGTTTAGTGTCGCAGTAATGATACTTCGGTAACACTTTACAATAAGGTTCATTAGTTAATGCATTTGCTAACATGAACTAATCATGAACAACACATGTAGAGCATTTATTAATCATGATTGAACATTTACTAATGCATTATTAACATCCAACTCCATGCTTGTTAACATTAGTTAATGCACTGAGTTAATATGAACTAATAATGAACTACTATATTTTCCTTAACTAACGTTAACTAATATGAACAAATACAGTTGTAAATGTATTGTTTATTGTTTGTTCATCTTAGTAAATGCATTAATTAACATTAACTAATAAACCTTATTGTAAAGTGTGACCGATACTTCTTATGACATAACTTCCAAAATGCCATTTCATCATCAATTTTTTAAAAATTTGTTATGATCACACTAAAATAAACAGGCAATAGATTGTTTTTTCTGAGATAATTATATAAAAAAAATTATAAGGTCTAAACATTTTAACTTTAAAACACCATGAACGACTGAAAACCAAGAATAGCTCTTGATTGTTGTCATTTTGCTCTCGTTTCTCCAGGCATTAGTATTTATTTTCATTTCTAGGTTCATCAGGTTCAATCAGACCCCATTTGATTGGTCAGATTTGGATAAACAACCTATGCATGTAGCAGATAGGCTTGGCACCTACAACTAATTTAATGTATTGCATTTCTCTGCAATATGTATATTGCATAAACTATTATCGCGATAACGATATTTGTTCGACATATTGTGAAGTCCTAATTTTTATACCACACATTGCATCTCGTCTAACATATACAGTTGCAGTCAAAATCATTAGCTCTTCTGTGAATTTCTTTTTCATATATTTCCCAATCTATGTTTAACAGAGCGAGGAATTTTTCACAGTATTTCCTATAATATTTTTTCTTCTGGAGAAAGTCTTATTTGTTTTATTTCGGCTAGAATAAAAGCATTTTTCAATTTTTTAAAACCGTTTTAAGCTCAATATTAAGCTTTTTTTTTCAATTGTTTACAAAACAAACTATCATTACACAATGACTTGCCTAATTACCTTAACTTACCCAATTAACCTAGTTAAGCCTTTAAATTGCACTTGAATACTTGTACCTTGAAAAATATCTAGTAAAATATTTTGTAGTCATCATGGCAAATATAACAGTAATCAAGTATTAGAAATGAGTTATTAAAACTATTATGTTTAGAAATGTGTTTAAAAAGATCATCTCTCCATTAAGCAGAAATTGGGGACAAAATTATACATGAGAGCTAATAATTCAGGAGGACTAATAATTCTGACTATCTGTATGTTTGTTTCTCTAGGTGGAGAGCCTTGTCTGAGACGCAGCGGAGCTGACATGATCCCGAAGGCACGCATGAAGACCCTGAAGATGACCATCATCATCGTGGCTTCATTTGTGGTGTGCTGGACACCGTATTATCTGCTGGGCATCTGGTATTGGTTTCAGCCCCGAATGCTGCAGGTCACGCCGGAATACGTCCATCACGCCCTCTTCGTCTTTGGTAACCTCAACACGTGCTGTGATCCGGTCATCTACGGTTTCTTCACACCCTCGTTCAGAGCAGACATAACCAGCTGCTTCAGTAGGAGGAATCAAAACTGCTCTCCGAAATCTCTGGACCGACTGTCCGCACGCAGAGGAGGTGCAAGCGGGGAAGCAGAGTCAGACCTTGGGAGCGGAGACCAGCCCAGCGGACAAACAGCATAGGTGGTCAATCCAGCTGGAATGTTCTGCCTGAATGTGAAGGATAGTAATTTCACTACGAGTCCAGACATCTATATATACACTGCTGAAGGGGATTGGTATTTATAGTATATGCAGGTATTATGAACATGCTTGAATTCAGATTTAATCCACTTAAAGTCATCATGAAATAGGGGTTAGGCTTGTCTTTTTTTCGCATATCATGACCTACAATTGAAGTCAGAGTTATAAGCCCTCCTGCATTTTTTTCCCCAAATTTCTGTTTAATGGAGAGCAGATGTTTTTCAGCACATTGCTAAACATAGTTTTAATAACTCATTTCTAATAACTGATTTATTTATCTTTGCCATGATGACAGCACATAATATTTTATTAGATATTTTTCAAGATACTAATATTCGGCTTAAAGTGCCATTTAAGGCACTTTAAGCTTGCTGTAATATACCAAGTTATTTAGGTTAATTAGTCAAGTTAGATCCGGTTAGATCACACCAACTTTCACAATTTCGGCACAATTTCCTTGACATAGGGTATTGTGGGGATTCGTAAACGACAAATGGATGTCATTACACAAGATTCAATCCTTTATTCTCGTGTTAATGTGGCATAGTTTACGACAACTGATACCATGTCTGCGACGCCTAATGACACCATAGCAGAAAGTCTACCATGTTTAATTTTTTACTTATTCTTCACGATGAGTTCCATCACGTGGATGACACTGTGCAATAGGAGCACTTCATTTCTCTGTTATTTCAGTGAGTGCTGCCGTTAATGCGCCGGTCAGGTAATCAAAACATAGACTGTATATTTACTTATGGGTAGGGCCAGACGGAATCTGTGGATGTTTTTTGCTATTTCTGCTGAGAATTTTGGTAAAAATCTGTGGATTTCTGCGGAATTATTTTGGGAGTATCAAAACTAAAACCTTAATATGTGAAATAAAAAAAAAATTGATGTAATGTTTAAGGTGCAAATCCAATTAGATCCACTTTCTTTGGTAAACAAGCTAGTCTGTTATGTAATATCTCTACTAAAAGACAGAAAATATTACTTTACACACTGCATCGTACATAAATCAGATGAACATATTCACATTAGTCAATAATATTCCTGTAATTATTTAAAAAACTGAATAAATATAGATTTACACACATTTACTCATGTAAATAAACAGAATTAATGATGGGCTAAAAATCTGTGGAAATCTGCAGAATTCTGCGTGCGCAGATTCCGTGTGGGCCTACTTATGGGTGGGCTATGGGTGAATAAGATCAATTATTGGTTATGCAAACTTTAACTACCTTTTCTGAAGTATTAAGGTGTTTTAAGCAATTTTATCTGACAGACTGACACAAATATGCTGACATCTACATTTTCACGAGTTTGAGTTTTCTCTGCCTTCCAACAGAGTTTGTTCTTCCGAGGTAATATGGTAACGTTCAGTGCTGCGGATACATTGGTAAAGCATTTCCTGCTTATTCAAATTTGTCATTAATATTGAAAACTTTTTAATATAGGCTTCTCTGAAACTGTGAATATTTCACTTTAATTTATTTAGGCTAGATTATTATTTTATTTAACAAACCAACACAATCTCACAGCAATTCATGTTTCGGCGCATATAGAGGATTTGTTTTGAAGTGCATCACCTCAAATGTTATTCGTTCGCTATTCTTGTTTATAGATAACTGACCAACAAAAGATACATTAAAGTAGAAGTTAAAAATTAGAGCAAATGAAATTCATTTTAGGAGAATATTTTTACAAGAAAAATATACAAATAATTTTTTTGTTTGTGCCCCTCCACAACTTGACTATATTGGATGATTTGTTTTGCTCTGAGGAAAATAAGTATTTAATGAATGCCTCACTGTTATTGTGTCACAAATCTCAGTCATATTCATTCATTCATTTTCTTGTCGGCTTAGTCCCTTTATTAATCTGGGGTCGCCACAGCGGAATGAACCGCCAACTTATCCAGCATATGTTTTACGCAGCAGATGCCCTTCCAGCCGCAACCCATCTCTGGGAAATCTCAGTTACATGTTTGCTAATTTTTTAATATGTCAATTATATCTTGAGCATCTGATTTTTCCTTTTTGCTGCTTATGTGCTTTCATTTCCATCTCACTTGCAGCAAGTTCAGGTGAGAGAGAGTTAAATCAAAAGATTTCAGAAAATAACATGATATTAAAAAGGAATCATAAGTTTGATCCTATCCATGTGGTAACGAATGCCCTTAAATAATGTAGTTATTAGTTGTCTGCAAGCATCAGTGTTTATTGAGATTGAAATAAGATTTAAAAAATGTCAATTGAGATTTTTAAATTGTTATAGCAACACTTGTGACTGCTTTGGGAAATGCTCGTCGTAGACGTCATGTGATAACTGATCGAGAAGAACCAAGTAGTCTGGCAGATTTGTTACCCATGACAAGCCAAGATTTTATCAAGAGAGAGAGAAAAAAAACTCATTATCTGACATAGTGACTTTTGTAACCGACAATAAAAATCGTGTGATCTGACCGGGGCTTTAGGGTAATTACGCAAGTTATTGTAAAACGATGGCTTGTTCTGTAGCCAATCGACAAACAATATTGCGTAATGGGGCTAATAATATTGACCTTAAAATAGTTAGAATTTAAAAAAAAAAAAACTTTCATGCTATACGAAATAATACAATTAAGACTTTCTCCAGAAGAAAAAATATTATCAGAAATACTGTAAAAATTTCCTTGCTCTGTTAAACATCATTTGGGAAATATTTGAAAAAGAAAAAAAAGTTCACAGGAGGGTTAATAATTATGACCTCAATTGTAAATCAAATTGAAACGGTCCTGAAATTAGATAAAAATGTAGGGTAGTGCATGATTTTGTGTTTTGGGAACTGTTTGGATCATCGGAAGAGGAATGTTGCCAACAAAATGAAGATGACTGATAAAAGGACAAAAGCAGGGCAGAAACAAAACATGCCCTGATAACCCCGCCTTAAATGAGTTAGCCCCGCCCTAAAGATATTCCACGTGACCAGAAATGAAGAAAAGTGAATTCGCGAGGGCAGGGAAGGTTATGGTGGTTGATTAAAAATTATGAGAGCAAATAAATTTTTACAAAGTGCCGAGATACATTGTTTCTAGCACTACTATATAAATATAAAAACAAGAAGAGCACATTTTAATTTCATGGCAACTTTAAAAGGATAGTTCACACTAAAATAGAAAATTCTGTCATCATTTATACACCCATGGTGTTGTTTTATCAGTGTATGCTTCTTTTTTGATCATAAATAGAGCAATATTAATGAAATGACAATCCTGTTAGCGCTTGTCCATATAATGGTACCGAATACGGGTCAAAATTAAAGTGATAGTTCACTTAAAACTGAAAGGTTTTAAGTTACAGGTTTTTAGCTTTCTTGAAAATATCTTCTTTAATTTTTAACAGAATTAAGAAACTCATAAAAGTTTGAAACCACTTGTGAGTGAGTAGATAGTAAGTAAATTTTCATTTTTGCATGAACTAATCCTTTAGTACAATAGTATTTGGTCGAAAATTTAATAAAAATTTAATAAAAATCCTGACTGTGGCCTCTACTTGGTCACAAACAAAAATAGTCTCCCCATTACTGAAAATCAATAGTATTAATAAATACTATAGGATTAGATTTAATTTCCTGTCCTAATCAAAAATTGCAAAATTTGACATTTGCGGGTGTTTACAGTACATCTGCCTCATCTATAACTCCTCTCCATTCAGCGGTGAAGCTCTCAAAGCAATTAAACGCACTGAAGCATATCATTATGCTTCACATTAATGGGTAATTATCCCAAAATGTATCATCTAGAGATGAAAAAAATATTCTTGATCACACCAAGATGAAGTTAATCAAGTGATATTAGCAGTGGGGTCGGCAAACATGCTAGTGTATATTTTTTTCTGGTGACAGTAAAAAGACTTTAAATTCAATTCCTGGAGAGCCACAGCTCTGCACAGTTTAGTTCCAACCCTGCTCCAACACACTTATCTGTAGGTTTCAAACAAGGCTGAAGAAATCAATTAGTTTGATCAGGTGTGTTTAATTAGAGTTGAACCTAAAATGTGCCGAGCTGCGGCCCTCCAGAAACTGGAGTTTGACACATGTGCCTTAAAGACAAAGTTCACCCAAAATTCAAAGTCATCATTTACTCACCCTTGACTTGTTTTATTTATTAATTTTTTGTTCTATTGAATGCAAAAGAAGATATTTTGAAGAATGTTGGAAACCTGTAACCATTGACTTCCATGGTATTTGTTTTCCCTACAATGTCAATGATGACCAGTTTCACGACATTCTTCAAAATATCTTATTTTGTGTTCAATGGACCAAAATTTTAAGAGCGAGTGAATGAAGGTAGAATTGAAATTTTTGGGCAAACTATCTATTTAAAATGCAGAATTTTAAGTCGCAAATAAGAGTAAAGCATCATTTGAAATGGTAAAAGTCAACTCTTATTTGTGTTTTAACAATCTTAAAGTCGGCAGGGTGGTTAGCACTGTAGCCTCACAGCAAGAAGGTCGCTGGTTTGAGTCCTGGCTGGGTCAGTTGGCATTTCTGTGTGGAGTTTGCATGTTCTCCTCCGTGTGCTCCCCATAGTCCAAAGAAATGCGCTATAGGTGAATTAAATAAACTAAATTGGCCATAGTGTATGAGTGTGTGTGAGAGAGAGAGAATTAGTATGTATGGGTGTTTCCCATACACTGGGTTGCAGCTGAAAGGGTATACGCTATGTAAAATATATGCTGAAATAGTTGGCGGTTCATTCCGCTGTGGTGACCTCAGATAAATCAGAGACTAAGCTGAGGGAAAATGTATGAATAAATCTGAAAGAAAATTAAAAGTGTGTGCTCTATGTTCGTCCCTTCAAAAAATTAATACTAAACAAGTAGCAAGTAAACATTAACTGAAAGTAAATGAAAGAAGGGCCTGTGACACTTGAACCACACCAGGTAAGAAAATGATTGCTGAATTTTCACTTTTGGATGAACTAACCCTTCAATACTGAATATGAATCACCAACAATATCAATATAGGTTTATTCTGAAAACATAGCTCTATATACATTTCTGGAGATCGTAGCCAGAGTAGATTATCTGGATTATGTAGCCAGAAGTACGTATGGCTGCATTTAATTTTAAAAACGAACGCTACGGTGCGATATGACGCCATTCCTTTTCGCGGTAAAAATCTGAAAACGC